AATGGGGTCATTTAAAATGAAGGAAGAAACTTAGCTTCTACTATGCTAATGAGCACTATTAGCCCCGGTGGTGCAGTCAGGGGTGGCTTCCCTGAGGCCCAGAAGGTCCAAAAAATGGGGGAGGGGGGTTTGTTTGCTGCAAAAAAGCCACGCCCACCCAGTCACATGGCCATGTTCACCTAGCCACGCCCACAGAACCGGTTGTTACAAAATTTGAATCCCACCCCTGGGTGCAGTGGTTGGAATGCAGTATTGTAGTCTGAAATGAAGACCCAGATTATTGGGGGCACTACGTTGACTATGTAAAGCTCAGAGTATTGTAAAGCAGCACCCCGGCCCCAATCTTTTGGGCACAAGGGACTGGTTTTGTGGAGACAGTTTTTTCTGCGGATGGGGCTTTGCTTGTTTGCACGGCCCAGTTCCTGGCATGCCACACACCAGTGCTGCTCCATGGACCGGAGTTGGGGACCCTGCTGTAAAGCACTGTGGAGTGGTATATAAGTGCTATTGCCATTGCACAATGCAGCGAAAATTGCTGTTTCCCTGGCAGGGTGTGTGTGTTCCTGGGTAGGTAGTTTGGAACAGGGGTCTCCAACCTTGGCAACTTTAAGCCTGGCGGACTTCAACTCCCAGAATTCCCCAGCCAGAAGAGACCCCTGGTTTGGAATGCTTTCAACCCACCCCTATGTCTCTGTTCAATGGTCCCTTTTCTTTCTTCTACCCATCCTGCATGGATGTAGCCCAATCTAACATCAAGCTGAAAACAGAACATGCCAGTAGGACAAGAACAAAAGAAAAATGGGAACAAATGACTCATCATAGCATATACAAAAAAGGAGTATTCTTTTTGTGAACAAACAAGAAGAGGAATATGACTTGACATTTACATAGCTGCCTTTGCAGTATACGTTTGAGAAGTTCTACATCACAGGCCTTTAGAAGCTATATATCCCTTCTTTCCTCATGTTCACATTATATCCGAGTTTAAAACGCTGTAATTCTGCAAGGCAGAATAATACTTTGGAAGCATTCTTCTCCACCGCTCCCCCACCCCCCACAACCGTACCCTGGAGCTTCTGCTAATGAGGCTCCTGATGCATCCATTACTTATTCATAAACCGCCACTGACAATTTTCTCTTATCTCATTTCTGTCTTTCCCTACAGCCACCTTCCTGGGTGCTGCTTGTTTGTTCATTCCCATGTGCAAAAATCAAAATACACACCATCTTCTTCCATCCCCATCATTGCCTCCACCAGATAGTTACAAGTGCCTGAGGAGAGCTACAATATACATTCTTCAGCACAATCCCTGGGCCTCCTCTTCCTCACTACCAGGTTGTTTTTTTAAAAAAAAAGGAAGAAAAAAATGGTCCCGACACACTTCCCTTCTCCTAGGTCTTACAGGGGTCTCCAACCTTGATAACTTTAAGACTTGTGGACTTCAACTCCCAGAGTTCCTCAGCCAGGAGTTGAAGTCCACAAGTCTTAAAGTTGCCAAGGTTGGAGACCCCTGTGAAGGCCTCAACTGCTGATAGTTCCAGAGGCCCTGAACCAGGTTCTATAGCAGCAGTCCCCAAACTGGTGCCTTCCAAGTGATGAGGGCTGCACAGGTAGCCCTCGACTTAATGACCACAACGGAGCCTAAAATGTCTGTTGCTAAGTGAAAACTGTGTTAAGTGAGTTGTTAAGTGAAGCACTGTGGTTCTTAAGTTAGTAACACGGTTGGTTAAGTGAATCTGCCTTCTGCGACCATCTGCGACCATCATAAATGGTGAGTCAGTTACCAAGCGGCTGAATGTTGATCACATGACCAAGGGGATGCTGCCACGGTTGCAAGTGTGAAAAATGGCCATAAGTCACTTTCTTCAGTGTTGCTGTATCTTTGAATGGTCACTCAATGTACTGTTGTAAGTCAGTGGCTACCTGCAGTCAAATAAAGCCGGAGGCCTCCAAATCCAGAAAGGATGTACTAAAAACGTAACTTAAAATGACGCCCACTCAGTCACTTTCATGCAGGTGAGGTGATTATTAGCCTCTTTGGCAGCCTTACTGGGAACCAGTGATTTGAGGTTTAGAATAGAATACACCACTTCAGGCAAATGGTTATCCAATCTCTTCTTAAAAACCTCCAGTGTTGGAACATTTACGACTTCAGAGGCAAGTTGTTCTACTGAAGTACTCCCTCCCACCTTCCCTTGAGTCAACAGGAAATTATTCTGGCATGGAATTTGCTCTTCCCTATTGCCTACTTTAATCCTGCTTGTGTTTCCCATTTCTGCCAGTCCCAACTTTACTCCAAGTCATCAGGTTGACAAATCTTAAAAAGATTTTGCACCTGGAAGGTGTCTGGACCATATTTTATTTTAGCACAGGGTAGGAAAAGCTCTTTGAGTAACACAGGTTGCCAACCGACTGGAGTAGGAGGAACCAAACAATTTTTCCCCCTCCCATTTCCTAAAAAAAAAAATCTCCCTTCAAAGTGTACGCCATAAGTGAACAGATTGTGGGATTCTGCCTTAGCGTTTGTATAAGCAGATGTAGTGTGCTTATACATACTGTCAAGGTAAATGTGTAAGTGATATATCTTTCTGTCACATTCCATTTGAAACAAGGCTACAGCTTTGCTCTCAGCCTTCTACACAGAGGCTACAATTTCACAACTGCCCTGGCTTTGCTTTCTGTGAATAATGGGATACATAATGAAATCTCTGATATGAAAAGCATATAGACGAGTTGTTAGTTAACTAAGGTTTAACTAACCATTCTTAACTCTCCTAACTATTCTTGCAAAGTTTGCTCTGTTATCCCGTAGTCATAGTTTGTTGGGTGCAGAATAAATGGCCTTTTCTTTTGGTGCTCAAATACTGGATAAAATAAAAAAGGAACATGCCACAAGTCAGATAGCAGTGCCATGCTTAATTGAGATTTAAGAGGCTTAGCATTAAGAAAATGCTTGGATTTTAGCAGGATAACTGTCTCAGAACAACTCAACAACAGAAGCAAATGGCACCCCAGCAGCAACAGGTAACTTTTAATTCAATGGACACTGAAGCAGCAAGGAAGTACATATGGAGGCGCACAGACATCGGTGGTAAGAGGTGAAAGGAAGCATTAGGCAGAGCTACATTTCTACATAAGTGAAATAACTTGGATGGTTTTCACACTTGACCTCCCTAGTGCTACTAAGAGGTTGTTTTTTTTTGCTTTGCAGCACACGAAACTGAAATTAAAACAGTGGTTCCACAGCACATTTAATTTAGTACTGTACTATATTCTCTCACAACCCCAGTTTCTACAGCTTTAATTAGAAGTTTCCTCCTGGCAACTTCTGCTCAGTGTTCCAATTGTTGCATTAACAGTGGGATTTTATCTATACATTAATTGTCTCTTTGTTTCTGTTTGGGGGAGCTTTAATGAATTATTTAATTTTTTAAATTATTATAACACCATAAGTGAACAAAAGGAGAGACAGAGAAGTCAACCATGACTTACCCTTCTTTCAGGGAATAAATTATTGCTGTTGTTCACTAATGTTATCCCCACACTGAAACAAGAAACAGAAGCTGTAAAGGGGGAACTGCTAATTAAAGGCACAAAAGCATGAAAAACTTAACACCACTTTATCCGCTCACATTAGGCTGCTAAGGCAATCACATTTAAAAAAAAAACCCCAGCAACTAAAATGTCTTTAAAAAGTGGGAAGGCAATACAGGAATATACTGAAATGTTGTTGGCAATTTTTATCGTTTGGGTCTCCACAAAGAGAGTTGAAATGACGGACATCAAATCCCTATACAAGAATGGAAGCAACTTAGTCCCATATGATCCAGCCAGTGGTGGAAAGCTGACCTGATAAAACAGATTTGAGGTAGATGAACAACTTTTTAAAACCGTTTTCTCTCTCCCTTTTTAAAATAACTCTTTGCAAATAGAAAATAAGCCCAGTTGGAAGATGCCTAAGCAAGGACTTTCACCTTGCTTTGTTAATGTTACATTTTCATAGAAAGATGTTTTATATATGGAAAGATGTTTTGTAAATTCCACCGCTGACCAGTCCACAGTAATGGTGCAGTCCATCTCATCTCTCCCCAATTCATTTGGGTATTTGGAGGTCGGTGTAGCACCTCAAGAGAGGAATTCCCTGCCCCAGCAAAGGTTAAACAGGCTCCCTGCTTTGTGTAGCAGCCACGTTACCCATTCATGACCACTACGCATCCTTACGTTTTCTGAATGCAGACACATTCAGAGTGGTGAGTAAGCACAATGGGTATTTAAGGTTATACATCTTCCTTGATCTCTGTACACAAGCAAATTAGGGGCAGCAAACAGGCTCAGTGACTAAAAAGGGTTACGCGCAAAGGCGAAAAGAAGGAGTTGATACAGGTGGATGGATCAGCTAGAATTATACTGTTAAAAAAAGCAACGTTTTCCATGCCTACATGAACTGGCACTGTCCCACACTTCAGGTGCAATTCAAAAGAACAACCAGGCTGCCCATGGGGACGCCATGTCCAAAGTATCTCCTTGTGACACCGGAATGCAAGAGGGTGGGGGCCTGTTTCCGTGGAATACCCCTTTTTCTGGCATGTCCCCCAATCCCTCCACCTCATATCAAGAACAGCATTTTTTTTCCAGGCTTTTATTTAGCAAAAGAAAAAGTAATTATAAAAGGAACTAATAAAAAGCCCATGCTGCTGCAGGGGCATTCCCCACCCCACCCCAATTCCTTAATCCCTGAAGGGGGATTCCTATTCTTATTTTTAATTTATTTTATTTTATTTTTTGGGGGGGAAGAAGGGGGGGGACTGAATCCCTCCAGGCTGCAGTGCAAATATTTACACAGACTCTTAAGAACAAAAGGGTCGGGGGGGGGGGTGAGGGGGGGGGTGGGATGGAGGGCTTTTTACACTGAAATCTCTACACCGAGGGAATGTAATCATTTACAGCCAATAATCTTAACGAGATGCAATAATAAATTAATGAGTAAGGCACTGCACCCAGTAAGGGCACAACAGGTGGGGTAGGAGTGAATGTTTGGGAGAGGAGGGGGGGGAGCACTGTCAGGTAAGATTAAAAATATCCAATTGCCATGGTTACCAAAAACAGAACAAGGGCAGATTCCACCAGCTACCAACAAGGAGTGGGGGACTAGGGAGATGAACAATATGATTGAAGGGAGGGGTCCACAAACATTTGGGGTGAGGGGTTTTTTTTCCATTTAGCTGCCGGCTTGAGGGGGAGGGGGCATGATCAGGCTGCACCCCAACCTCATTGCTTATTCTAGGTGGCCCCTCCCAAGTCACAGGCAGAGGAGGGGCAGGTGCTTGTTATTGCTTCCAGACTGAAGGCTGGGGAGGGGAGGCACCACAGCGACTTTCTGCCACCCCAGGGGAAAAGGTCACGGGTCTCTTGCCCCTCCAGGAGGTTTAAAAAGATCAAGTCTGTTCCCCTTTGTGTGGTGGGGGGGGAGCCCACAAGCCAAGTTGGAGGTAGAGTCCCTTTGGAGGCACCTTTCCTGGATGCCCGCTGCCCTGCTCCCTTTTGCCCTCCTGCCCCCTCCAGCATCCTCAGCTTGTTCCCGAAACAAGAGTGGTGACTTGTTCCAGCTTCAGCCTCAGTTTGTGTTTCCGGCAGGCAGCATCCCGTTCCAACGCAGTCAGGATCTGGGGGCAAGGCGGGGAGAGGGAGGGGGGAGAGATTGGAAGCAAAAGGTTCAGTCCAAGGGGAGGAAGAGAGAGAGAGAGAGAGAGAGCCAAAAGAGGCCAGGAGGAGCTAAGCACTGAACTCCCAGGGGGGAAAAACGGGGGTGTAAAACCAAGGGACCAGGATGGAGAAATATCCAGTACAATTGGAAAGGGATGCTGAACAGCAAGGAGTAAAAAAAAAAAGGCAGGCCAAATGATTGCCCACTTATTAGGATGGAGTTTTGGGCTGGAGTAAGAATGTTGGAAAAGGAGAGGCTTCCTTCCCTGGGACAGATTCACAGATCTTTGGCTCCTTAGGATTAAACCATCTGTAAAACAGGTCCCTCCCTATGAAAGCTGACATACCTATTTACGAGAGGTACAAGTATGACAGACATGGTGGTGGTGGGGAACTAAAAAGAAGAGGAAAATGGATGGAAGGGTGGCACAAATATTAAAAGGCAATATCACAATTGTCACAATATCTTCTCCAATGCCGTAAATCACCCCTTGGCTATTGAACTGTTAGACTAATTTTATGAGAGGCCCCAGAGCTGCACAAAAGTAGAGGCTACCGAAGGAGCTGGCTGAGAACATGTCTAATCAGATGCCACCCTGTCTTCACGGAAGAAGACTGATTCTCTGCCCTATAAGATGTATAGCTGGCAACTCCCTTCAGGACAGGTGGGGGGTTTGCAGCCTGGCTCAGAAGGGGAAGGAGGAAGGAAAAGTTGTGATCCTAGCCATGGCCTCACCTCATCACGGTACCTTCCCACATAGCTGTAGAGCTCTCCCAGTGCACCCAACGTGTTAAATTCCCCTGCGTGCTGACGGGATTGTTCTACTAGGTAGGCATCCATATCTTGGTCACTAATGGAAGCCATCTTGGTGATGTCCCGGTAATACCTAGAACATAGAGACAAATATTGTTTTAGGATTTCATATACCTGCAGATCAGAGATGGTATTCAGCAGGTTCTGACCAGTTTTAGAGAAACGGTAGCAGAAATTTTGAGTAGTTTGGAGAACTGGCAAATACTACCTCTGACTGGAGATTTTACATTATCCTTCCCCTGCCACGCCCACCAAGTTATGCCCACAGAACCGGTAGTAAAAAAATTTGAATCCCACAACTGCTGCAGATACAGTAGATGACTCTGTCTCATCTCAGTAGAGAGAAAAAACCAAACAAGCACAATCGTAAACAAACTGCTTATAAACATAAATATGATGCAATTCTATTTTTCTGGATTCATTGTAATTGATTTTTGCCTTGACTACACCCAATGGGCAACCAGGGTACTAATTTAGCAAACTAACATCCTTGACACTCAGCTGCACTTTCTGAAATATTTAGCTCAGATATTGAATAAATGGCATATTTGGATAAACATTGATTGTAATAATTAGCCTGGCATGCAAACTTGAGGTGGCGGGGCGGAGGGGACATAGAAGCCAAATTTGGTATCTGGCAGAGAGAGCTGCTACAATGCCAGGAACATTGGGATGACAAGGCACAAAAGCAGTCAAAAGGAACCATCAAGGAACTAGAGTGCCACAATCCGGAACAATTCAATCTCTATTCAGCCCTCCCTACATATAGTAGATGACATCAGCTTTGACCATGGGCAGTTGGATAATGGAGAGCAATACTCTAAAAAAAATGTGGAAGCTACTACATGGACCCATTCTTTTCTATGATTCCTTAATTTTAAATACAATTTACAGTGTGGAATTACAACTGTTTCCAGATAAGTCTAAGAAATGAATTGCGTGTTCTATTTTTAATATGGCAACTCACTCCCCATCTCAAACAGAAAATTGTAAGAAGGAATGTACAAACAGGGTCTAAACCTAAGAAATTACCTTTCCAGATTCATGACACTCTCCCAATATGTGGAAAGACTTCTAAAAATTTCAGCAATGTCTGTGCGGGTTGGGAAATTTGGAAATTGGTCAACCCAGATTATTGAAAGTTGGGCAGATTTATTGTGGATTACGTGGATAAATTCTTTTGCTATAATTTCTGGACAATGTCAAGCTTCGGATAGCCATAGCTGTAAATCCTGACTCTCTAGACAAATAACTCCTTATTCTATAATTGGCTGATTTGGTTGAAGGCTCACATACATGACTTGGCAAGATTAATCTCTATTGCAGACAAGACTGAAGCCATATATATAGATAAATCAAAGGTTATATGAATCAATACTTCAAGATTTAAACTCTAAGCTTTTTTTGCTCCTTTTCTGAGTCAATAGATATTTGGCCTTCTCTTGATGGCCTCAAAAAGCACTTGATCTGTGCTGACATAACAGTTCTTTCTAACATGACAACGGTCGATTCCTGCTTTGCCAACTCTATTCTCTACAAATGGGGTAACCACTGGATCAGTGCTGGTGGCCTTAGTTCACTGGCAGAAGACAAGCTTTGTATGCAGAAGAGCTTAATTAGCAACATGTGATGAGGGGAAAACTTGGCCTAAAAAACTGGTAATAGTGGAAAGAAACACCATATGAACCTAAAGGGATTGTATACCTGAGGCAGGATCAACTGTTTTTCTTATGACTTCCCTTTTATTAGCACATAGAACAGTTGATAGGTCCAGGGTGAGTCGGGTGTTGGCCCATTTTACAGCATATGGAGTAATCTTCATATTTCTTACCTCAAAACAGCAAGAAGTCATACAAATGATCCTTAAAAGTTATGGCTGAAGGAGAGTCAGAATGCCATATGTGACACTTAGGGAAAGGATCCCTTGGATTAATCTGTATTGTAAACAAATTTCTCGCAGGGTAATATTCTGTACAAACTTAGAAAAAACTAACTTGATTCCTTGTTACCTTTTTCTGTGAAGCCATCTAATGGCCAAGTTTACATCAAGGATTACCCAGGTATCATTAACAGGCTACTGAAGATACTGAGTATGAGGCACTACTGCTGGCCATTTTTTGGGCCAAGACCTGAATCCTATTGTACAGGTAGACCTCAAATTACAACCATTCGTTCAGTGACTATGGAGATTCTCAGTCATCCAGGTTATGGTTGTCCCAAAGGTTCTTTTTCAAGAAGCAACCGGGCTTTCTGGTTTCTCTTTGAAGATGTTTCGCTTCTCATCCAAGAAGCTTCTTCAGCTCTGACTGGGTGATCCTTCCATTCCCCACCATCCCAGTCAGAGCTGAAGAAACTTCTGGGATGAGAAGAGAAACGTCTTCAAAGAAAAAACAGAAAGTCCAGTTGCCTCTTGAAAAAGAACCTTTGGGATTCATTTAGTGACTGTTCAAAGTTGCAATGGCCCTGAAAAAAGTGACTTATGACCGTTTGCCATACTTGCAACTGGTGCAGCATCCTCATGGCCTGTGATCAAAATTCAGATGCTTGGCAACTGGCTGATATGTATGACGGTTGCAGTGTCCCAGGCTCACACAATCACTTTTTGCGACCTTCTGACAAGCATAGTCAATGGGGAAGCCAGATTCAGACAACCATTGTGTTACTAATTGAACAGCTGTAGTGATTCACTTAACAGCTGCGGCAAGAAAGGTCGTAAAGTGGGGCAAAACTCCCTTAACTGTCTCACTTAACAACATAAATTTGGGGCTCAACTGTGATCTTACGTCAAGGACTCCCTATAGCCATGATGGCAAACTTATAGCACATGTGCCAGAGGTGGCACACAGAGCCCTCTCTGTCGGCACACAAGCCATCACCCCAGTTCAGCTCTGCCATGCATGCACACGCACCTCCCTCCGGCCAGCTGGTCTTCGGGTCTCTGCCAAGCATGGGCAGGAGGTAAAGGCGGGCAGGGGCAGGGTGAATGTGCATGCATGCACAGGGATGCGCATGCATTGTATTTTGGGGAGGTGTGTGCACACGCTTTGGGCACTCAGTGCCGAAAAGGTTAGCCATCACTGCCCTATAGTAATCTAGCACCTGGGTTCTCCTGCCCCTCTGCCTTAATTGCTACTTGAAAAGAGACCTTCTTCTGTGCAATGGAAGGAAGAGGAGGCTGCATATCACATATATATCACATATATCTCTTACAGTGGTGGGATTCAAAAATATTTACTACCGGTTCTGTGGGCGTGGCTTGGTGGGCGTGGCAGGGGAAGGATACTGTAAAATCTCCAGAGGTGGGATTTGCCGGTTCTCCGAACTACTCAAAATTTCCGCCACCGGTTCTCCAGAACTGGTCCGAACCTGCTGAATACCACCTCTGGTCTTTTAGTGATTCAATCAAGCAAGCTTGGTTTTGTTAGCCCTACTTGTTGAATTCACACCAGAGCTAAATGCAGTTGGCTAGTGTGTATTTCAGCACGTTGTGCAAAACCTTCAGTTGCTTTAGCGTGTTGTGTGAACTAGATCTTCATATTAATAAGTAAGAGAGTTTATTTGTTTGGATACAACATATACTATAAACAGAGCAATTGTGTTTTGTTAACCAGGAGTTTGATCCTATGAAGTCTATGATCTGAAGATGCTACAATTTCCATTTCCTAGAAGAGGAAGTGATCTGCCAACTAGTGACATCATCCATATTTCCTCCCCCCGCCTCCCTTACCCATCACCTCACCTTTCCACCCAGCCTTTATAAACAGGGATATCCTTGGCATATAATAGCTTTGTCGAAGGGGAATCCTTGCCCAGGCGGTGCTCAGAGGTAGAGCACGAGTCCATGAAGGTCTGGGCGACAACGGAGAGGCAAGCGTCCGTGATGCTGCTCTTGTGAATATCAAAAACAAACTGTGGGTTCTTGATGACATTCACCCAAAACCTCAAGGGCAAACTAGAATTGAGAAAGAGGTAAGCGGTATGAGACATTGATATTGGAAGAACTGTCATCACTTGAGCCAAATGATCTGTCACAAGAAGAAGAGAAAATGAAAGGGAATTAAAGGCTCAATTTCATTGTTACATTAGATGCTTTTGAAGAGTGGAATCATTTTGTTTTGCTTAAAGCTGTGTGAAGTCTGGAAAACACATACTCAGTTCTGAATTAAGCCGATTGATAGGTACTCAGCAGCCATGCTAGGCTGTGGGTTTCCAGCTGTGGTTCACAGGCTTACAGCCATAGCATGTGTTGGATAACAAACCAAAATGCAAAATGCTCACCAGTTGCTTTTCCAGGTATGTCGAACATCGGGATCACCAATCTGTCTCCGCTCTGCTTGTTCATCCAGGAAGTCAAACATGTATTTGATGGGCAACGGAAGGGCACTGGCCCGGTGTGCTGTGCTGAACACTGTCTCAAACAGATCATCAACAAACTTCTGCAACGTACCCTGGAAAAGACAAATACTTCCGGAATATATCCTTTGAGGTGATTGGAAAGAACAATTTGTTTAATCTGGGGATATCGCAAAAGCCTTTCCTAACTCCCCCACCACTTAAGAAATACCAAAATTCTACCAAACAAAAACAACAGAAGTGATCAATAATGGTAAGTTCTCCCTTAAACGTGGCAGGTAGAACATCTGGCAGAGTAGAGGCTATGATCTGAATATAGAAATATTGTTTGGATTGAGTTGATTGATTGATTTGATTTCTATAGCTGTCCATCTCAGCAAACAACTCTGGGTGGCTCACAATATCTATCTGAGGAGTTCTTCCAGATTCTGAAAATGGCTGTTAGGAATAAAATAGGTTACCTAACGTAGTTTGGGTAAAATAATATATATAAACTATGATAGTGAATTTAAGTGTGTGTCACTTTAACTGCAAAGCATGTAATTTTGGGTGCGGCTGTAAAATCGCCATAAGAGGGAGCAAGAGAACCTGATTGACTGCTGGCTTACTGGATTGCTTGCAGACGATGATGGATTGTTAACTGCGTGTTCTCTGCTGTTGCTGCTGAGTGAAAGGAGGTTTGACTTCTTCATATCTCTACTGCGAAGAGATATATTACTGGACTGATATTTGTAAGTGTACTGACCTCTTTTTCGACACTGGACTTTGCAACTGATTAATCCTCGGACGGACTAAACTAGTGTATGATATATGGACTGTTTGACTATGCTAAAAATCTTACTGGAATAAAACTATTTAACTAGCACAGTGTATCTGTTTTACTGAGTGTAAACTACAAAAACATTTATCTCACATATTTGCCTGCCTGCCTGACTGCCGTGCAGGTTCTGCTAGGGTGTATATCCCTAACAATGGCAATTTCATTAACAGATGTCAAGTCTTCATAACCTTGGAGAAAAATGTACACACCTGCTTTGGCAAAGCCAATCTTGCAATCATCAAGAATGCATTTGATTTTTCACTCATTTCTTCCACTAGATGCCCAAACTGGCCCATTTTTCAATTGCCTCCTCATTACCACATGATCTGAAAACTGCCACATGGTGTCTAGATCAATGTGTATAAAATAATTTGCTAAATTATGCAAAGGGAGAATCATTAATTTTGCAAAAACTAAGGCCCTTATTAGGATCCCACAGAAAATAAAAGAGTACTGTAAACAGCTGTCAGAGAATAAATTTAATCTCAATATTTCACCGAAAAATAAACACGTCTCAGTGTTCTGATTCAGATATTCTTTCCCAGTGCCTCTCATAGTCTGTTACTAGAGTTTGACTATAAATCTATATCAAATAGCCCTGATTTGAAACTATAACATTAATCCCTTCAAAATCCCCAAGCTTAAATTGCATCTACATTTCAACAGAAGCCACTTTCACATCAATTTAATTTATTGCTGCTACTGCCAAGGTACATGGGAATGATTGCTCTGTGAGGATCTTGACAGCATCATTATATATTACCAAATTGTAATTTGTTGTAATATTACAACAAAGTTCCAGATAACAATAATGTAATTAAATCAAGCACCGAGACAGAACACAAATATACACAATTACAATTCAGACTTCAAAAGATACTTGCTTTTTTTCAGCACCTGGCAATTTACAGCTTTAATTTTGCCAGATTTGATGTTGCACAGTGTTAATAAAGCACCTGAAACTTTATTTAAGATGTCATCTGGCAAGCATGGAAAGTGGCAGAATAGCAGAGTCCAAAGAAGGGAACCTATGTTCCTGCTCCTGTTGCTAGACAGGAGGTAAGTGAAACAATATCCTGTTCAGAAGGAACATTCAGGCTTTCTATGTGAAGGACTTGGCAAGATTGAACAAAAGCTGAAATTTTGGGGAGAAAAATTGGAGAAATGTCTCTTCAGCAAAGTTTTGTTGAAGGCAAGAGTTACAGAGCCAACCAAGTCTGAAAAATCTCTTGGTCGACTATTGAAGGACTGGTTCTGAAACTCTGCAATACCTTATCTTCCAAAGAAAAACATCAATCAACTGAAGAATTTTGGCAGGCAGAGTTCAGGAGAAGAGCCTTTTCTGCTGTGGCCCCCGCTGCCTTCTGGAATTTTCTTCAGTTGGAGATGGCACAGTGGTTAGAATGCAGTACTGCAGGTTACTTCTGCTGCCTACCGGCTGCCTGCAATTTGGCAGTTCGAATCTCCCCAGGCTCAAAGTTGACTCAGCCTTCCATCTTTCTGAGGTGGGTAAAATGAGAACCCAGATTGTTGGAGGCAATATGCTGACTCTGTAAATCACTTAGAGAAAGCTGTAAAGCACTGTGACGCAGGATATAAGTAGTACTATTGCTATCTTCTCTACCTCATTAGCCACCCCCAACATAGTAAGTCCCTGTCAGGATCCCAGGCTAAGCAGCAAACCCAAGTTTTTAGGCTCTTCCAGAAGGCCAGGAATGTGGGGGCAGACTTCATCTCCAACTGAAGAAAATGGTGGCCACCCATCATCTTGGTTTTAACTTTTAACTTTTCTATTCAAATTTTCTGATTTTAATTGCTATTTAGCACTGTTTTTTATTCTACTGTAAGTCCTTCAAAGTCGCTGAATCAGTGAGATGGGCGGCATAGATATTTAGTAAACAAATAAATAAAATAAAGGGTTGATTTAAACTTAGAATATCTTGCCCAAATGCCTCCACTCCAGGTTGTAGGATTAATATAGGGTATAGGGTGATGTCTACTAATTCCGAAATCCAGTTCTCTTCCAACCATACCTTGGTGGCAAGGAGCCGGGTGAGGTAGATCTCAGAAACCATCTTGCTCCCTCGCTCCCCTTCCTTGGGGTCTCCGAGATGCTCATGGTTCTTGACCAGGTGCCAGAGGCGGGTGCCTGAATCTTGATCTGGAGTGAGGATGGGAGCTCGTGAGCGCAAGCTCTCTGGGCTGCTGGAGGTACGCAACAAACTTTCTGCAGGGGTTGGGAGGGGTGAGAAACGAAGTCACTTTGAGTTTGCTCAATTTAATCCTGAGCCAAAGAGCCTGTTTTCCAGGCACCTCCTTCCAGCCCTGATTAAACTTTTAAAAAATCCTTTCTGTATCCAGAGGAAGTTTTTTTTTTCTTTCTTTCAGGCACAGAGCCTGAAATCTGAGCAGAACCACTACTACCATCATCCTCACCCCTCCAGAGACTAAAGTATACCCCTTCCGCTCCAACCACAAAGTGGGAGTGGCTGTAAAATTATAGACATTTCGTGCCTGGAATAGCAAAGAAAATTACAGCTAGGCCAGGATAATGCTGGGAGGAAGCCCAGGGAATAAAATTCAGACGTGGCAAGAGCTGCCTGTCAAAGACTGATTGCGGAAATACCAATAACTTAGATCTCAGGTTTGCGGGGCTGCTGAACACATAGGACGGGGATGGCCTTTCTCATGCAAAGAAGCATCCACAGCGCCCATGTGTGTATGTGTCAGAGAGAGGACATGCCTCTGCATGCCAAGCCACATAAAAAGACGATGACAGAGGCTCATTTGCACAAGGCTATAATCTCAGTTTATGAGGATCTAGACAAAAGATGGAAAGGCTGTATCCTGAAAACATGTCCCAAATGCCAAAATATACAACTTCGTGTGTATGCCTTCCATGAAGGAGGGCAAACATGCTGCAGCTCAGCAGGAATTAAGACCAAGCCCAGGAAGTGGAGCATTTCAACTTTCTTACTTTCAAGCAAATTTCTAGAGCTTATGGTTATAACAACAGCCTTAAAAACGTAAAGTGAACTGCAAGCAGGTAAGATTTTCAGTGTTTGGAAAACCAGCCAAAAAAAGGAGAAAGGATGAACATTTGCATAATGTGTATAGATTATAGAATTCAGATCCTTAGTCAGAAAGTCTGGACTGCTCCAGCATACATTTTCAGAGTTCCTGCAAGTTACCCCACATGTATGGAACATGTCCCAGGAATGTGCATGGCTGCTTTAAGGTGTTCCTGACAGGTGCAAGGGGTATGCCCAGATCTGCCCCTCCAAATAATATTTAAATCTGGATCTCTGCATAGCCCTAGTTGCTATCCATCTGCTTAAATCTTAACGAGGTGGCCACATTCCCTTGGAAACCTGTCAAAGACTCTACTCTGAGGTCATCTACATCCATACTACATCTGTTGCCCGTACTGCTCTCTTCTTCTTTGGGCAAGAAACATGGATTCTTCCCTTGCCTGGGAACCCTTTGAAAATACAGATAATTCTTTCCAAGGGTCCTTCAACAGGGACAACCCATCTCAGATACCACTTTGGCAGAGGTCCAGGCAACACATAACTCACGAACAGCCCTGCTACATTTTAGAGTGCCTTCACGCCTGAACTGAATTATGTTCTTTCTTTGCAATGTTAGGTTATGCTGTTGGGAGAAAAATCCAGGGTTTGCAAGTCATTCAGGACAGACAGACATGCATCTCTGTGATGGTGAAGACAGGGTGAGGCAGAGGTGCCATTCGCTTACCGTAGCGACTCAGCGAATGGGTGAAAGTGAAGGAGCTTGCAATATTGTAGCCTGATGCCTGCCTAGGAACCAAGGCCACCGTGGAGCCATCTGCTACCTGTGTGTTAAATTGCAGAGATGGCAGGAGTGGAGGGGTGGGGGGGGAAGTGGGTTTAGAGATAAGATGGATTGGGATGAGGGAAGAGAAGAAAGAGGAATGTTGACCAGTTAACAACATTAATAATACTTAGCATTAATATAGCATACTTCAAACTATGCAAGTCCTTAGTGCTCCCTGAGCTTGGTGGTCTGGCTGCAGATGTTTCATTACCAAATGAGGTAACATGATCAGTGCTCATGATGTCACCATCCCGGCACCTAGTTTGGTAATGAAACTTCTGCAAGAAAACCACCAAGCTCAGAGAACACCAAGGACCCCCCACAATATTCCCTTGTATCAGTACAGTTCAAACTTTCAATGCATTTTACGCTGTCTTTTGAAACTCTGTAAATTAGAGGAGAGTCATTACTCCCACACCAGAGTCTAGAGTAGGGGTATAGTAATGACAGAAAGTTTGTGAACTTTTTAAAGCTATCTGCAATCATGCAGTCAGGAGAATATGACAACACATCAATTCATAAATACTTGTCAATAAATACTATGACCTACCTAATGTGATCTGAACTTCCTTTTGGCTGTTGTTTGTTTACCACATTATCTTTACCTATTACTAGCATTAGGACAGTAACATTGTAGGCAACAATACTGCTGGGTTACAGGTAGCTCTAAAGGGATTACTAACTTTCTAACATCACAGCATCTGGGCACTCCTTCATGAAAATATCGGGGAGGTTAAGAGAAAGCTAGTCTGGGCAAAGCTCTCTGATCAAATTTATGATGGAGCCAAAAGCTGAACAGGGAGCTTCTTAATTGATAATTCAAGCAATTATACATTACACCAATTTCTTAAAAAAATATACAAGAACAAATGGCCAACACGAGGAGGACCTCTGAACTATTAAGAGCAGCACCTCAAGGTAAGTCTTAATCCAAAACCAAGAGCCATTGTGGGGGGGGTGTCTTTATTCAGAGAAGTTCAGTTTCCCCCTCTTAATCTCAGTGGATTCTACTCTAGTGGGGACTAAAGAATTTTTCACAAAGTGTTGGCTGCTGGCGATATTACCGTAAGCATGGCTACGGTACCAGAATACAAACTATTCAGAACTTTAAGAGAAAGCCAAAACTGTTAACGTACACTTTAGTCCCAAACTGAAGCATACATATTAAGATAGTGAATTAGCGATGGAGGCGAATATCCGTAGCTCGGGTGGAGGTTCGTTCCCTGAGCCCGGCGAACTGAACCTGCACCCTCACAGTTGATTAGTCCAGAAAACTGGAAGGCAAATACCTGATAATGCCCCAAGGTGTTGAGCCGCTTCCAGTCTCCCTCAATCTTACTTGTGGCGTCTTCATCCTGCAAGATGGTCCGTCCCACAGCACCCTGACACCACTCTGGGATAAACCGGAAGACGAGTGGGAAGACAGTTGGCTTTATTATTCTCTCTTCCTATTTAGTTACAAATTTAAGCCAGTGGCTGATTACCCAGGTCCATTCCATGCTCACAACCCCAGCCTGCTTTTTGCCACGTTCCTGCTTTCATACCTAGCTCCATGTCTTCAGCTCGGGGCCGCTGCGAATAGGGTACTCCTCGATATACGGCATCTAGAAGCTTCTCCTTCACTTGGGTCACCGAATCACAGTTTAATACTTTAACAGGCACTGCAGGTCCGCCAGGTGGCTCAGGAGGGGTGCATAGCAATGTCTAGCAGGGAAAATAGATCTCGTCTTAAGTCATGGTAAAGGTACACATTTATGCACATTTGCAGATCTGGGGTTTGGAATGAGAAGTAACTATCCCACTTCTCGCAGCTTCCACCGCTAAGGAAAAACTACACATTTAGACCTCTCCATTTTAACGCAGCTCCCAACAAGTGTTTCAGCATTCAGGGTGTTAAAAAAAACAAAACCTTTTGCCTAATATGGATGCAGATAACAGAATTGTATTTGGGGTTTGTGATATTTCACAGAAGGACAAAATATTTGGCTACTTTGTTGAAGAGCCTTTCTATTTTCCCAATCAGCTGTCTGTAAGTCACACCTGTTGCCTTTACCTTAGCTACAGCCCAGCATGAAATACCTTGTGGAATACCAATCAAATCCCAATTCCGTGTAGCGTTATGGTATTTTGCACAATGTAATCTTTCATGGTACATCACCCATAATTCCCAGCTCTTATCTACAGCGCTGCTTCTTCCAAGCTGGTTCCCCCCATTTTGAAATTAAGTAATTAACCCACTTAGGAAGGTTTCCAATTGTTACAAAACGAGAATGCTTCATTTATCTGTTGGCACAGATGCCTCCAAGCCAGAATTGCAAGCTTAGAATGACTTGGGCAACAAGCCCCTTCTTACACATATAGCCATGATTTAGTGGGATACGTGGTTGGCTCCCTGGCTGCCTCTGTTGCCACCCCCTAAACTCACCAAGGTCTTGTAATCAATCTGCTGGCGAATGAGCTTGTCCTCGCTCAACGAGTAGCGTGCCTCGCCTGTGATGGCATCTATTGGGCCTTTCTCCATCTGCTGCTTGATGGCACAGAACAGCATGAATAATGGCTCCCCAGCACATTCCTAGGTAAGGAAGAGACAAGCTTGAAGCAGGAAACCTTGGAATCTGCAGGTAGCAAATGAGATGGCAGGCAAACCTGGCTCTGTATTTTCTATTCTCACCAGCTCTATATGTTCTTTTTTAAAGGAAGCCCCAAAGATTAAGGTCTCCCACATTTAAGGCTTATGTTCTATCACTGAATAACAATGCCAGGCATTTTCACTCAAATTTCCCAGCATCCCACTGGGCGGAGAATATTATTAAACTGATGAAGCTAATGATTCCAGGATTGTAACAGAATAGGTCTGAAGACCCAAAAGTTCATGAGCCCAAAGTTCAGGCACTCTTACCTTCAGGAATCTATGCAGCAGAAAAGTAAACCAATTGGTCAACATTTTCTCAGCCACTGACTCCGTCCTGGAACAAGAAAAAGATAGAGGAGTGTTGCTTGCGACTGTGAGATGGAAGAAGTCCCCTATGCCTGCAGCAGTGTTTTGTGACAAGGAAGAAAAGGATCTGGCTGTCTCCACTCTTCTAACATCTCATCTGAAACTTGTGTTCTGACTATCCCAAGAATATTGTTGATAATACAGACTCATGCACGGTTCGCTGTTGCCAATTTAATTATTAAACAGCAACATTTAATTGGGACCAGGAGGAGAGGAGCATGGGAATCAAAGAAGGTCTCGCACCGGCGGAGCAACAGCTTGGGGTGGGCACGGTTCTGCAGGTTCTTCTCAATGAGGTCAGCCAGCAGCTGCTTCAGCACCCCAGTAGCATAGTCAAGCCTGCCCTGCAGGGCCACCATCGTCAGAGAAGCAACAGCGCCTCTATCTCGCATGGAGAAACCTCGCTGGCCTTCCAGGGTGTGGATGAAGGTCAGCAGGAAAGGCCGAGTGTGTAGCAACTGCCCAAAGAGACGGAGCCCTTTCTCTGTGCTTGGTGGTGTCTGCAGAGGCAAGAAAACAGAAACCGCTCCCTAAGCCAATATGGCAACATGGCTAGCAAGGGCAATGACAAATATTCCTTGCAGCTTTCCACATGCCATAGGCTCGACTTTGCTCACAACCGGGAAAGTCTTTTTATCTGCCCTTGACTTCGCATACTTGTTCCACCTCTATGCACTTTGGAACATGAAGACTGTCTTGCTGTCTTTCCAGTAGTCCCAAGACAGACAGACAGATAAATGATAGATGGTAGATAGATAGATAGATAGATAGATAGATAGATAGATAGATAGATAGATAGATAGATAGATAGATAGATAGATAGACAGACAGACAGACAGACAGATACATACATACATACATACATACATACATACATACAGATGATAGTTAATAGATAGATAGATAGATAGATAGATAGATAGATAGATAGATAGATAGATAGATAGAGATAGATAGATAGATAGATAGAGGTAGGTAGGTAGGTAGGTAGGTAGGTAGGTAGACAGACAGATACATACATACATACATACAGATGATAGTTAATAGACAGATAGATAGATAGAGATAGAGATATAGAGATATAGAGATATAGAGATATAGAGATATAGATAGATAGATAGATAGATAGATAGATAGATAGATAGATAGATAGATAGATAGAGATAGAGATAGATAGATAGAGATAGATAGATATAGATGATAGTAAATAGACAGACAGATAGAATGATAAATAGATAGCTAGATAGATGATAGAGAAACAGATAGATACAAATAGATAATGATAGGTGATAAATGATATGATAAGTGATAGATTTATATATAATAGACAACAGACAGACAATACTATTAAGAATACTGCTTTTAAATGCAACCTTTGTACATCTAACAAGAGTGGAAATGAAGATCAGTAAGAAGTTCAGCTTGATGGCCATTATCTCCAAACTAAAGGGGTCTCTGTGCTGGTCTGTGAAAAGAAGGAACTCCTAGATCCATCATATCGGGCAGAACCAGCCCCAATAATTTCAGGAACACGCATCTGGGTTTACAAGTTCAGGCGACAATGATACCAGAGATATCGAAACATAAAGACCTCAGGATACCAAACCTCAGGATAAACCAATCTCTGTAACTCAATTTCCCCCCAACTTAATATTATTGTTAAGGCAGCATGTCAGGCAGGTCTCATTTTTCCACAACAAGCACTCACACTGGTTTCTTGAAGTGCCGGGTGATCATCCACCCCCGGAAAGAGCACACGCCTTGCATATGTCCGATAATCCAGGAATGGGATCTTCACGCCATCCATGTTGTTTGTCAGCTCGTTAATATCGGTCTGCAACTCAGCAAAAGCTGAAGAAGGTAGAAGACTGTTAAAAGTGTTGAGCTGTTTGCAAAGGGGACTTTTCCTTCCACTCCGCCTCTTTTGATCGTAACGGAGCCAAAGAATCAACCATCAAGCCAACCTTGGCCTGCAATAGCCCTGCCTCATCAGATCAGGCAGCAAAGATGGAACAGGTATATTCCGGGTGGAAAAAACTGCACATCATCATGCTTACACACTACATGTGCAGGTTTTGGCAACATGTAACCAGCGAACGCGAAGCCTGTATGAGACTTCTTGCAAAAGAATCTAAATTCTTCATTTCTCTTTTGAGACTAGATCAAGGGTGTCAAACTCGATTTCATTGAGGGCCGCATCAGGGCTGTGTTTGACTTCAGGGGCCGGGATGGGCATGGCCAACTTGACATCACTCGTGTCAGGGCACCTGTGGTGGCCAGAGCGCGCTGCCAGCAAAAACAGGCTCCTGAGATCCATTTTTGGCCGCGATGGCCTCTTGCAGCCATCTGCCAGTGAAAATGGAGCTTGGCTGAAAATGGAGCTTGGGACAGCCACATGCGGACCTCCCAAGCTCCACTTTCAGTGGCAGAGGGCTGCAGGAGGCCGTTGCAGCTGAAAACGGAGCCAAGCTCCATTTTTGCTGGCAGAGGCCCCACGGTCTAGTCCTTCAACTGTTTCCAGGGCAGCCCCGCAGGCCAGATCTAAGTATCCCGCAGGTTGGATGTGGCCCATGGGCCTTGAGTTTGACACCCCTGGACTAGATGATAACTGGGACCACATCACATCTTTGAAGCTACCATCCTTCCTCTACTATATGAAGCTGGCTCAAGTAAACCTATCATTTCAGACTGGAATAATGGCTCAAAGCATGTGATACAATATTCCTCAAATCTCTTCTCTGCTTGCCCTTCCTTTACTGTAAAACACGGGTGTCAAACTTGATTGTGTCATATCGCTATGTACCGTGACATTCAGTGGTGGGATTCAAACATTTTTACTATCGGTTCTGTGGGTGTGACTTGGTGGGCGTGGCGTGGCGTGGCTTGGTGGGCGTGGCAGGGGAAGGTTACTGCAAAATCCACATTCCCTCCCCACCCCACTAACCTGCTTATCATCTCTGTTCTCCTGTGCAGGCCAACAAAAGAAGACCCAGCCGATCAGCTGGGACTCGGGAGGCAGAGAATAGATGGGGGCAGGGCCAGTCAGAGGTGGTATTCCAAACTACTCAACATTTCCTCTATCAGTTCTCCAGAACTGGTGAGAACCTGCTGAATACCACCTCTGGTGACGGTTTTTGCTTTTGGGGAGCCAGGGTGGGAGTGGCCTACGCGTCACGCATCTGACCTGTGGGCCGCCAGTTTGACACCCCTGCTCTAAAACATTCTGGGCTGAAAATAGTGTTTTATCATTAGGCAGAGCTGCTTTAAACCAATTGGTTTGGGATGCCATGGTCATCCCCCCACCCAAATCTTTAAGGCATTATTAAGTGTATTTTTCCTTGCCATTAAGAGGTAAGGAGGCTTGTAGGGTCTTCTGCCTCAGATTGCCTTAACAGTTGGTCTCGGATACTATGCAACTGAAGTGAAAATGCCTTTTAATGTGCTCCACTTGGCCATTATGTACCTTAGGTTAGTCCTGTAGGATGTTCTCTTGGGATTCTGTGTGTGCGCGAGCATGCACACACACACACACACACACACACACACACACACCCTTATGCTCATACATCTGAGAGGCATGAAAATAAAGTACTATATAACCATTGGCATTCTATTTTTCAGTATGGCCTTTTTTTGTCCAAAATACACATTTGTATTTTTCTATGCAAACAACTTTCAGGGGGAAAAATTCAAGGCGATATCAGACTCTTGGTATTATCAAAGCCAATTTAAAGGACTCCACACAATTGCATAGTCGAGCATGGCAGCTTTTGCTAGCAAAGTAAAAGGCAAAGCACTGCCACACTGCAAAGAAAAATATATATTGGCTTGCCTGTATTCACTTTGTGAGTCACAGCCGGTGAATTTTGCCTACTGTCTAGTTTTATGAGCTGTTCACTTTTGTTAGTTAACGTAAGGCACTGCCACACTGCAGAGAAAGGGATCTTGGCTTGGATTTGTCCAATGTGTGAGTCACAACTTGGTCTGTTGCATATGCAAATGAAAATGAAAATGCATGGAAGTCAAGGTGCCCTCTCTTCCTCCCCTGCCAAACTTTAACTCTTGGGAGAGCTGAAGAAGGAATGAAACGTTATGAATTCTTCCATTAATTTGTGCCTGTACAAAATACGCTTTGATGTAAGAATAGGGCGATGGGAAAGCATCCTTCTATAAGAAGCAAACAAAACTAGCAGGGGGATAAGACTTATTTACTATGATGTATGAGAACTGCGCCTGTGAATATGACGTTAGTCAGGGCTGTATGCCAATGGAGACATTGATGAAATGTCTCAGCCTTGGAAACAAAGACAATGCCGCTCCCTCTTTCTCTGACCGCTTCTTGACAGTTTTATAGCACTTGCTTCCATTTCCACTCCTGTCAGTACCTTCCTTGCATTCCAGAGCCACCCGTGACTCCAGGTTGTCCATCTGCAGCTGCAGGCGCTTCAGAGTACGGTCTGCATCCCGTGTCTTCCGTTTGTAGGCTACCAGCACCCCAATGATTGCCCCCAGAAGGAGGCTCCCTCCTGCCCCTAAGCCCACCAGGGCTGGCAAAGGCAAGGCTGCCTCAGGATAGATGTGAAGGGTGCCTGGAGAGAATGACAGGCCTCCCACCAGGATCTGCAAGGAAAGGAGAGCAATATTATTTGTTTTGTTTATTTTATTATTTTATTTATCCATCCCCTGTATTATTTTTATAAATTGTTCAAAGCAACAAAATACCGAACACGCCTTCTTCCTATTTCCATCACAACAACAACTCTGTGAGGTGAATTGGGCTGAGAGAGAATGGTTGCCTTTCCACGAGAATCGCTTAACTGGATGGGACGAAGGACCTGTTTTAATTGTCTCTTCCAATTTCGAGCAGTTGGCAGTGAGATACTCTCAATACAAGCAGGTCATTGAGTCTTTCTTTCTCATTCACCCCTCATTTTTCAACCAGCAAGCAGGTCAGGAGTCAGTACCCAGAGTTTGGGTGAATACCTCATGTTTCCCGATTATTGTTCATGCCTGTTCATATGGGAGGACTTCCTTATGGAACCCTGCATCTTCTCCACATCCAAATGTTTCATCTACAGATGTGAATTTGCAGCTGGAAGTTGTTTGTATTTGACAAAGCTGGACATGATTAAAGTCACTTGTGTCAATTTTGAATCTAAGCTATATGTTTTTGGGAATTTTTCTTTCCCCAGAGATTTATCAGGTTTAAAAAATATCATACTAGTAGTCCGCAATAACTGACTGTTTCATTTAGTGACCATTTGAAGTTACAATAGTGTAATAAAGCCAGTTTTAAAACCAGTCCTTACATTTACAATTGTCTCAGCATCCTGTGTTCCCATGATCGTCATTCAGGCACTTTGCAACCATCATACATTTACAACTATTGCAGTGTCCCACGATCAAATGATCACTGTATGTGTGCTTCACAATTGGCTTCCAATAAGCAGAGTTAGTGGAGAATGTGGAGGTGAAATCACCACTTGTGATCAAGTGATTTTCCACTTAGGAATCAAGGTGCTTTAGCAACAGAGCTCCAGTTCCTATTGTGGTTCCTAATCCAGGACTGCCCTGTATGAGGGCATGTAAAATGTCATCAACTGCACAAGTTCTGATCTGCCCACGACCTTAGTGATGCTCTCCAGAATGGAGGTGAATGGCTCAAGCCACAGAAGTCCTTTAATAAGCCCCGCCCCCAAATCAATTGTACCATGACTGGCTGCTCTCCAGTTTGGCTTGGCGAATCACACAACAATTGGGTTTCTGAGACAGTCAGGGTGCAAGGTTCTCCACCAATCAGCACTGTGTAGTTGAGTCGTGTACTGCCGGATACTGCAGGGATCAGATTCCGGCCCTGAGAAGAAAAACACAGGAAATATACAATTATACCACCCTGAGTTTAGATTTGGGAGATAATTTAATGTTTAAGAGTCACTGCGAGACTAGGGCAGGGGTGTCAAACTCAAGGCCTGCGGGCCAGATCCAGCCTGCGGGGTGCTTAGATCTGGCCCAGATCTTCCCAGGGCCTGGAAACAGCGAAGGACCAGCCCGCGGTTCCTCTGCCACCAAAAACGGGCTCCCGAGCTCCACAGCCTCCTGCAACTCTCTGCCAGTGAAAACAGAGCTCCCTCAAACTCCACCAGCAGAGGGTTTCAGGAGGCTGTCGCAACCAAAAACAGAGCTCAGGAGCCCGTTTTCACTGGCAGAGCGCTTGAGCCACCACAGACGTCCCCGACATGAGTGATGTCAAGCTGGCCATGCACACCCCAGCCCCTGAGATCAAACACAGCCCTGATATGGCCCTCAATGAAATCAAGTTTGACACCCCTGGACTAAGAAGAGAAACTAGGGGAGAACAGGACTGTTTTCTCATATGTGCTGAAAGACAATATCAACACCCTCCTCCTCCGTTAAAACTGTATCCTGGTGGTTATTGTTAAGAATCTTTACAAATTAGTGCCTGAAGTTGTATCCACACCTCCCCTCTGGCATCCTGTTTTCCTTCTGTGCTATGTCTTTTACAGTAGCTGGTCCCTATGAGCAAGCATTATTAAAAGTTGATTGTAAGCTGTTTAGACAACTTTTTAATTTTTTTCCCTCTCCTGAGTTGACAGTAAGGAACATAGTATGCTGGGGTCGCCACCAAACTCATAATTTTAAATCCCACGGATCAGAGACCCTCGGAAAATCCCCCAAAAAGTCTGCAGGAAAATTCCCCACCCTGTTGTCCTACCAACCGATCATTCTTTATTTGGGATCACAGGACACCATCTCCAGTTCTGTTCTCAGGGGAAGAGAGAGAAAGAGAGACTTTTGGCTTCATGCAAGGAAAGCAGCAGAAGCAGCAGAAGTCTTTCTTTTTCTCCCCCAAACTCTGCCAGAAATGAGTCTTTGCCGGCGCAACCTCTTGGAGCAGGATGCCTTACAGGGTCCTAAAGACTCATTTCTGGCAGAGTTTGGGGGAGAGAAAGAAAGACTTTTGCTGCTTTCTGTTGTGGCTCCGATTCCCGAGCCTGTGCTGTTAGAGGAAGAGGACTTGGAAGATGAGGAGGAGGAACTGGGAATGCCTTCCTCCCCAGGACCTTCCTCTCTGGCAATGCCTTCCTCCCTGATAATGCCTCAGGTTTCATCAGACAACCAAGAGGAACAGCCTGAGATTAATCAGGAGGAGGGCATATCGGAGCAGCCCCTGACAGGGAGTCAAGAGGACGAATGTTGGCTTGATCCTAGGCAGCGTCGTAGGGAGAAACGTGAGCAGCAGCGTAGGAGGCGTGGGAGGGTCAGAGAATGAGCTGAGTCATTGAGCCACACCCCACAGGGGATAAAAGTGGGTGTGTTGTCGGCTGGAACTTTGTACGGGACAAAGTTTGATCTTACTTCAGGTTTTCTTTGTGAATGAGATTTGTGGTCTGCCTTGTAATTTTCTGTAAGTAGCTTTTTACTTGTTATCAGTTCAGACTTGGCAGGCAGAGCGTGTTGGAATGCCAAGGACGTTATCAGTTCCAAAGAATTAACTCTGTGAAGTCCGAGCCAGCCTGCCTGCCTGTGTTTGTGTGAGTTTGTACTCTTTCATCTTTAGAGAAAGAAGAAAGGTGAGACAGAACACTTTCCTTGCGTGCAGCAGAAGCAGAAGAAGAAAGAAGCAGAAAGAAGCAGCCCGGTGGCCGGGCAAGGCACGTGGGGCGAGTGGGGCAAGTTCCCCCCCACCCGCCCTTTCCCCCCTCCCCTCACTACCTTGTGTTGTTTGCAATGCAAGCGACACAAGCCTTGTGTTCCTGCACAGCCTGGATTAATTGCTTTGGGGGGTGCTTTGGGGGTGACATTTCTCTGTGGACCACCAAAATTTTCTCATGGATTTTCTCATGGTTGGCGACCACTGTACTATGCAACATCTCTTTGCCCCTTCCTGCAAGCTTTACCTTTCCACTGACAAGGGTAGTCCTCAACTTACAAGCAAAACTGAGTCCAGAATTATTATCATAAGTCATTGCGGTCGTAAGTCAAGGCACCAAGAACGCAGCATTTTTTGTAGTATTTATTAAGTGAACACCATGGTCGTTAATTGAATCCATTTTACCCAATTGCCTTTTTTTTTTTTGGCCAGAAACTGGAAGTAAATGACAGAAACTGGCAGCAAGCAGGTTCTAGAAAGACTTGTATTTTAAAACACTGGGAGAACCACATTACAATTATATTTTCAAAGCCCCAACATAGAGTTGCTTCAATACCTTGAGGACAACGTGGGATCCGGGTTTAATTTCCAGTATGCCGCTGGGCCCAAAGGTCTCAAAGGTCGGGTCTGGATAGTAGGTAAAAGCAGATCGGTTCAGGGTCCGGGTGGCGGCCACATCATCCAAGAGGAAGCCAAACTCATCAGGGTGAGCACCACCAAGGGGCAGTGCCTGCTCCCGAGGTATAATGCCTGGGGCCTTGCACAACATTATGGAGTCATTTAGCACTTGGCAACTCTGTAAGGAAACAAACCAGAAAAAAACACACAAGCCCCACAGGGGGCATCCATCAGCTTTGCCCTTCTAAGATCAGCTCTCGTCCTGTGCCTGTTCTTAGGCAAAAAAATACATATAATTATCTTTGCAGTTGGATCTTTCCATTGTTCTTAGCTTTCAATTATACAGTATGCGTCTTTTAAAAAAAATTATTACATTTTGATTACATTAAAAACATAAAAATATATCACTCAATAACAGCTATTTGTGGTGCTTATCGTATAACAATCATTTGTGCAATATTTACAGATATCAATTTGTGCATAATTATATTCTTATTCTATCTATATTCTATATTTAAAAATTACCTATCCTTAATCTGTCTCTGATCTATCCAGCTATACCATTGTTCCCATACCTTATAAAATATTGTAGCTTCCTTATCTTTTAAACTCAGCGTTAGTTTATCCATTTCAGCACAATTCATAACTTTTTGTATAACCAGTTCCTCTATGGGTGTATATGGCTGTTTCCAACATTGGGCAAAGGCGATCCTGGCAGCAGTCAGCATGTGTAATAATAAGTATTTTGTGTTCTTTATGTATGTTTTTTTTTTTTTTTTTGAAAAAAAATGCATCTTTTTAAGGAGTCCAATGCTCTGGGCATCCTCTATGTATTTTGCATTTGAAACCTATTTAAGACTAACATTTACTTGCTAGGAACTAGGAATCCATGAACAAGATAATCACATGGTGGATGGCCTTCGGATTGTATACAGTTCTGATTTTATCCATGCACCATTCAATACTTTAGCAGGGCCCATTACCACATGGATCATCTCAACATAATCAGTTAGATCCTTAGGGGACCTGCCACATTCTAACATTATATTGTATCTTGGAAATATATATTCTTTTTTCTCTTGGAGTAAGACAGCATTCTTATTTTTAGATCTTGTCATTTTTATTTCTTGTCTGTCCTTCAAGGGAATTCTAAATTTATGGCAGTGGGCTGGTGATAATTTTTGGTCATTATTTGTGAGGTCACTCACAAATAATCTATCAGGGACTACAAACCAAGAATAGCGCTATAGCACTTAGACTTACATACTGTAGCAATAGCATTTAGACGCTGCTCCATACTGCTTTACAGCCCTCTCTAAGTGGTTTACAGAGTCAAGATATTTCCCCTAACAATCTGGGTCCTCATTTTACCAACCTTGGAAGGATGGAAAGTCAAATCAACCTTGAGCCGGTCAGGATCGAATTTCTGGATGTGGGCAGTTAACCTGCAGTACTGTATTCTAACCACTACGCCATCATGACTCATTGCAGGGCCAACTTTTCTTCCATTCACCCTCTTTCTAGAGATTGCCTGTTAATTTTGATCTTAATTGCAGCTGGTTGTACACAATGGACAGGTAATAATTTTTAGTCAAGGTCATTTTCACTTGTGAATAATCTACAAAATAAGAAGGCACACTGCAAGGTCAACCTGTCTTCCATTCACCATCCTCCTACTCAGCGACTCCCTAAGTTAATTTTGATTTTAACTGCAGTGGGTTGTACAGAAACCCAGAAGAACAAATTGCCCAGTACTGCAAAATGGTCTGATGTCACATTGAACCTTGGAATATTGTGATAAATAAGGACTCTGCAACTCTCCCCACCCCCATACAACAAATTAATCTACAGTATTCCTGGAAACACCATCTCTTGTTCTCTCTTTGATCCTTATGCAAAGATCTAAACTCTGATTCCACTAGGTTTTCATCTGCCACAGAAGACTCACATTGATGGTTTCTATCCCACCATAAGCCGCCCGAACCCGTGGTTCCTGAATTGTTAGGAGGTGGGTCCCACTCACTGTGAGGCTGGTGCTACCACTGTAAAAAGAGGGGCAGAAAAGAAACCAATGTTTTGGTCTGCAAACACTAAAGGGAAAAACATAGCCAGAGAAGAGAAACTTAGCATTTCCAGAACACACAGGGCCGGCTAGTCCCCATTTTCATGATGCCATCGCACCGGGGTACTTCTATAACCATGGTACCTGGGAGACAT